CTATGCATATATTAAGGAGAATGAAATGAAAAGACTCTATGTTATATTATAGAGCTTGAAAACTTTATCTAATGATATGCCTATTATAATTATCATCTTTCCTACTATTTGTTATGAGAACAAATGTTATATGTTTTTTGTTTCCAAATGTTTTAATCCAGTCATCAATTTCTTTTGTATGTTATATTTTTAAGTCAATGATAGTTATTTAATTATCTCAAGCTCATAAATTTTTAAATATAAATTCATGAAATTAAATTAAACACATTAATCACATTAAATATATGAAAAAAACATTGAATATCTTATAAAATAGATAATCAATAGCTTTTATATATTTGTCCAATTATCTATAAGAAATTTTATCAACAATATATATGCGTATGTATGTTGGGGATAAGAATTTTTTTTTAGTTAAACAAATCGCCTGATGCCACATATCACATGGTGCTGTTGGACCCTTAATATCTTTAATGGAGCATATCTCTTGGTGAAAGCCAGAAAAAGTTTGGACATGAATCTACAATGGTCCAAACAGATAGGTAAAATCGTCTAATTCACTACAAGAATATACTCCAATTTTAACCATTGGTCTAAAATTGGTAAAAACAACTATTTTTGACTAGTATTTGACCAAAATCGGTTCATAAAAAATTGGTGGTCGTAAATAGATTTTTGTCAAAAAATAGTCAAAACTTTTTGACTAGTAAAAATGGTAAAAAATTTGGTTCTAACCAACAAAGTGGTCGGAAGCTTTTGACCAATCAAAATGGTCAAAATTTTGGTTTTGACCAATAAAGTGGTTGAAAGTTTTTGACCAATCAAAATGGTCAAAAATTTGGTTCTGACTAATAAAGTGGTCGAAATTTTTTGATCAATCAAAATGGTCGAAACTATATATTTTGATGAATTTTCAACTATATATTCCAACCAATTTTTGACCAACTTAAATTTTAATTTTAAAAAAAATTGTATTCGAAAATATTCAAATTCAAATTTAAAATATTTGATTCATAATAATTAAATTAAAATTAAAGATTTTAAAACAATTAAAATATAAAATAAAACACAAATAAATATTCTTGTTATCCACTAAATAAGGGATTAAAATATTTCAACATAAACTATTTGGGCTATGGTAAGCCTATTTAGAATTTTCAGAATGGAGTAAGTGTTATTTTATAGAGAAAGTCAAAGTTTCATCCCTCTCATATTGTCGATGTGGGACAAATACAAAAAGCTATATATGATCAATATTTGGTCGATAATGACCAATTTCTAATAAATATTTGTTCGTAAAAAATTATTAACGAATTTTGACCAAATTTTGTTTTAGTCGATAAATGGTAAGAATATTTTGACTATTTACTGACTACTTGTATTAGTAAAAAAATTTTGATCATATTTCGACAAGTTTAAATTTTCATAATTTTATGGTTGAAAATTTGTCAATCAACTTTTTGACCATTTTATTGGTAAAAAATTAACGTGTTTTCTTGACCAATTTTCAACCAATCTTCTTTGTCTCAAATTTTCGATCATTTTTTGACAAATTTACAAATCTGTTAAAAATTGGTCGAACAATTTCGACCAGTTTTCGACTCTTATATTTCGTCATAAATTTTTGACCAATTTATAACGAAAATAAATATTCGTCTTTAATTGGTCGAAAATTTCCAGAATAGTTCCTGACCACGAAAAAGTTGGTCAAAATTTGATATGTTATAACCCCAGCTTACGTCTCGGGTAGCTTATTCGGTCACCAGGAGTAACAGGGACTCGGGGTTAAGCACCCAGGGGAACCATCACTTAACATTTCCACCCGAAGACGAAGCACAGAGTCCAAGTTCTATTATCAAGCATTTGGGTTAGGTATGCAATATCTCTTGTATAACGCCAAGTTCAAATTCTTTTATATATGGATGTTTGAATTCTCTGTAAACTGGTAAAAGTATTTTCACCTTATACGTTTTAAGGTAAAAACATGTGGTCCATACTTGAAGAATGGTTAAAGCATAAAGGAACTGATTCAACATAGCAGAGTCGTATGGTCGGCCAAGTGGTGCAAGAAAATAATAAAGTATGTGAAAAACATTTTTGTACGTCGTACCAGGTTAAACCTACAAGTCCAAACCCAACCTAACGGAGAGCCTGGTATCCGAGCCCGAGCAGGTAAAGTCTATAAATACTACTCATTTCCTTCATAAATCGTTTATGATCTTTTGGCTAAAAATACTGATACTGAGCCCATTTTTCTCGAGACTAAGACTCATTCCCTTGAGTTTCAGTCTCTTTCTGGTTGTTTCAGACCACTCTCTCCGGTTCTTTCTATGAATTTCTCTACTTTTCCGATAATCTTATGTCAAAGCTACAATAAATACTTTATTATTCCCACTCCGCCTTAGCCCTAAATATCTCTTACAAACTCTCAGACCCTATGCGGATCATCTCTTGTTCGGCACGTAGTCACACATTTCCTCTCTTTTTGTTTTCCGACTATTATTTCTCTTGCTCCCAATGACTCCCGTTGTCTCTTCTATTAATATTCTTCTATCTTTTGTCCTCTTTTCTTATTTGAGCGTGGGAAAGCCATCAGAAAACACTCCCATACGTGTTTTTTAAAATCTTCACGTGTTTGTTGATTGCACAGGAGCGGGTCCACTTAGTAGTTGTTTAAGAGGATTAAAAATCTCCAAAACAATTTGGCGCTATAAAGTGGGGAAGATAAACTTTTTCTCAAAATCAACAAGCAATCTCAGATATGAACAAAAAACTTATAAAAAACCATGAATAGCGCATGGGGCAACATACTCCGTCACAACCAAGATTTGACCAAGAGCAAATTGATCTTCACCCAGGGACGATGAAACCTAACCGTTAGATTTCTGGCAAATCTTTTCGGAGAACAGTCAACTCTGAAAACAATTTTGAGAGATGATGGAGGCACTGAGCACAGTAGCCGAACATCAAAAGTGTCTTTTGTACCCAAAAGCAGCGGAAGGTATGACAGAATAAACATTCCAGCGACTGCCCAAATGAGCAACACCTCAATGCACTTCGAGAAACAAAGAGCCCAGACATACTCTTGAATGTGTTGGGTACAACAGTGAAGAGCTTTATGATCCTTGTCATCCCTCGTACCTTTGGTCCAAAGAAGTGTTTTATGATGGAGAAAAAAAAAATGGGGACAAAAAGAACTGGGAAGCCAACGCTAAGCGGAAGATGAAGGCCAAAGCCATGGTGAATAGCAGAAACACAAAACAGAAGCGGCGAAGGACCACCATGAAAGAGGAGAGAGTCTCCTGTAAAGATCTACGCACAAGATGACAAGATTCCCTAAAAAGTAGAGAACAAGTGGAAAAATTTGAGCAAAGAAGGAGTGCCAGCGTCACTGCCGTGGTTGGATGTGATGACGTCTCATGTCATATGAAGACCATCACAGATGAAGGGAAAGAAGAGAAGACGTGTCATCAACACGTGTTTCTACCCTTGACAAGAGTCGGAGCCACGCGTTGTGTGGATTTCTTTCGGAACACCAAAACAGAGAGGAGGAAGACTAAGTCTGTAGGAAACATAGTCAGCTGGATTCCGGATGTAAATTGCCAAGGCTTGGGGAAGAGCTAAGACTATACTTTGAGCAATAAAGGCCCGAGAATGAGAAGAACCAATTGAAAGATAAAAAGATCAAGGCCAGGTGGTTGTCGCCACCCATCTCCTGACGAAGAATCTTTATTTCTATTAGGGCTAGGTCTCTCTCAAACTCCAACGTGGAGCACCTGGAGTAAGCGGGATGAGAAATGCCAAAGACTCGGGTTTGGTGGAGAGACAATGAGACATGTTGGGAAACAAAGGGGCGTGCTCCCGCAGATTGGTATTGAACCAGAAGGCAGCCAAGGTGGTCACCGATTGTGAGGGTGAAAAAAGAAAAGATTATCATGCCTGGATAAAACTATAAGGCGCGGGAAAGGGAAATGAAAAATGTGGAAGCGTTGTTTTAATTTTCATATGGTTTAGTTATCAGATTATGCTTTTATTTGTAAAATCGCGTATAAGTTTTTCGTAGGCAGTATACTCCACGTTGAACTTTCTTCCATAGTCTCTCGTATATTGCGAATTAAATTGTGTCTTGAACAGTAGTTGTTTAAAATAGTCCCAATATTGATTGTGCGTTGAGTAGTTAGAATTGTCGTTTGTGAATATTTTGTTGCCTATGATGAATGATGTAAGTACTAATGAATTGGATTACATTGATAACAAGATGTGCAATTTTCAAATAATTGCTTATCATTATTTGTTAAATTATCAGAGACTCGTCCATATGTAAAATTTTCTAAACAAACATTCTTTTTTTGTTATCTCATAAACTTAGTTTTATCATAAACTTGAAAGACTACGCACAACATAAATTTAAACAATTATTGATGCATGTAAATGCAAACACAATTGTACACACAATGGTTAGTGTTAAGCACACATGACACAAGTCCACAAACCCATGATATTAGTCTATGTAACTAGACTTTTAGCAAGTATTCATATGTGTTATGAACGTGAATGTAACTTAACCTAGACAAAGCTCTCTTTCTTGTCCACATGGT